AGCACAGATCGATATATAGGTAATAAAATGTTATTGAGTCCCATCATGTGGGGTTTATACAAATTGAGCAGCCCTGTTTTGACACTATGTAGCTTCCTTTTGAATCAGCAAATTTAAGCTAGCCAAGATGTTAAAGGAAGAAGACTAAGGACCTTTGCCACATCAATGAACCTTGCACAAGGTCAAGACGTTTATGTTACTGAAAGGAAAACCTGTCATTTTTGCAATACATAAATTACATGGTAGTAACTGAGGACATGGGGGCTGAAATGCACTATTGCATTCTTTCCATGGCTCTTATAATATACTCTACCCTGAGGATTTTGTGCAAGTACTCTGTAGGGAATGAAAGGCTAGAGGTCATGTGAGCGTATCATGTTCAGGGATGGTGCAAGAAATCAAATATTTCCTTAGAGAGTTCTTTTTAATTAATCAAATGGAATATGCTTGTAATTTCTCCAGTGCTGAACATTTCTGATGTTTTATTCAAAAAGCCACACTGTGTCTCTAGGTTACAGTAAAGGCACAATAACTCATGCAGAGGCTTAGAAGCATGGGATGGTAGAAAACAAGTATAATAGGTCATTTTTGCCGCTCACTGAGAACTGCATCCACAACGTAAAATGAGTTCATTATTTCAGCTGTCGTGGTGCAAGATTGAAGCACGATTTAAGCAGAAAAGGTTCTGTTCCTCAGAAAAGGCAAGCAATAAAAAACCAAGGCAGGAACACCAGTGTCTGAAAAGGAGAGATTTTGTGAGGTGAGTCTCTGTGGCTGGATCTACACTACATATAATGAGGCAGGGGCACAGTGCCTTAAGCAATGATATGAGATCACCAGCAGTATTTAATTGCTTGCACAGACTCTGTCATGGGTTTGACCCCTGCCAGTGGATATTCTCATATGCTAAAGGCAGTTCTTCATGGGCAGTTCAGCTGCAGTTTCCCTGGTTTTGGTGCAGGGACACAAGCTGTATTGCATGAGGAGGCTTTGGGGACAGGAGTGGCTCCTGGCTCACTTTGTGTACAGGCAAGAGGGTGGCTGTGTGAAGCCACCCTGCGTGAAGCATCTTCACCTGTGTGACATGGCAACCCTGTGGGGCAGGCTCTCGCATGAGTCTATACAATTCTTGTATCCTTGTGTGCTTTAAGATTCACTGTTTACTATTCTTGGTTGGTGAAGATTTCCCTTTGATCTGCTTGGTCCTGATAATTCCGTTTTAGACTGATAACAAGGATTGGAAATAAAACATCCTGGCACCTTTGTAATTTGTGCAACAAGAATTCTGGCATTTGTGAGCCGTATGTCACCAAAGACTGGACATGTATTTAAAATAAAATTATATAAGTCCTGGTTTTCAATTTCACTCCCCTGCACTGTTGTTAAGTGCTCTAGAGAGCATCTGCAGCCATACGACCAAGGACCTCTCCAGCCATCAAATGTCTCTCAGGTTTGGATTCCATTCGCAAGTGCACATATGTAGCTGAAATAATTGTTGCTGTTGCCAGGCCCACCTTGACAGTAGCAATAAATGGTTTATAGGCAGTTTCAGAGGACTGTTGCTACCCATAAATAAAGCCATTTGTGGAACAGTTTTGGTCATATTGTTCTAAGGCTGCTGTGCCAAAATCCTTCTGGGAGATACCTGTGGCCAGCTTAAGTGTTTTGCTTGCAGCCAAGAAGCTCTCCTTCTGCAGTGGGGTAGTGTTAGTAAGCTTTTGTTACTGGGTAGCCTAAGAGGAAGGCTACTACATTTTCAATCATGTTAGCCTCTAAGCTGCCTCCGTAAGCTTCTGTCTGGATTAGAAACCTCCCTTTACAGGCCAGTTTCTAATTGCTAATGTTCAGTTTTTCCAGCAGTCTTTTTCTGATGGCTTTGGCCCAGATTCCAACCATGTCCTTTATCAGAACTCAGTCAGCCCTGCAAAGTCGCTGTGTTGACTGTCTGTGCCTCTGATCATCCTTGGATGCCAGCAATTTCTCTGCCTTTCTGAGCCTTCTACTTCTATAATTGTTTCTTTGCTTTATTTTTGCATAGAGTCCAGTGCATCTCACAGAGGAGGAACTCATAGGAAGGAGTTCCTCCTCTGCCTGTGCTAATGGAAGATCACTTACAACCCCAAATCTCATACAGTGAAATAAAAATCAAGCATCTGAGCGTCTTCTCTTTTGGAAGGGGAAGTTCTTAGTGAGACTTCATTATTTTTTCATTAGATCACTGATACAAGGTTTTGACACTGTACTGGGTACCCAGTAGTATATTGCCACTATCCAAAAGGTCTATTGCAAGTGTAATCTTTTTTCCCCATGAAAATGCTACAGAAACATAAGAATCGCCAGAAGGACCAGCTATTCGAGGGTATTTTTTTTGCCCAGACTTTCATCCAGAAAGGGTCAGTTTCTAGTCTGGCTTGAAGATCAGTCCACCAAAACAATTAAAGCTTTGGCCAGAGAATTCCTCAAGGAGGAAACTGGAAGACCTGAAAACTGAGAGATATTAATAAAATGCTGCAAATTCTGTATTTTCATCCAGTGAAAAGTGCAAGATGTTCTAAACTAAATATGTCATCTCCAGATCCTTTTTATTGAGCTGCCAAATGCAGAAAGAATATCAAACTACGAAACTGGTAAAACACACACACAAAAAAAAAGAAATCAAGGTTGGTAGTGCCTGACTTTTCCTGCAGTGGATGGGTAAGACAGCAGGGAGCTGCCTCTCAGCAGTGAGCACACTGGACATCTGTCTGATGGTACCACTCCTAGAAGTAGCTGGACTAGGTCCCAGAGTGGAAACTTGGCATTTGCCTAAAAGCTGGAGACAATGGAAGCTGTTCCTTCTGCCACGGATGAGAAATTGGTCATATCTGTTGGCTCCAGTTCATAAGGGTGGAAGAGTAGCTGGAAACCACTGACCAGGAAACAGGCTGCGCTCGCCCTGAGGAGCGGGAAGATCTTTCAGGGTTCGTGCACAGCAATGAACACTCTGTTGTTGTTATTATCTTTGATCTACAGATATACCCAAGGTGCCATTTATGCCCTCTTTTCCATGAAAGGGAGAAAATAAAAAGGAACATGATCTCGTGCAGATCATCACTATTAATGACAATATGTGCAGGCCAAAACAGAGGACAGGCTGAGGAAATGTTTCTGTGACAAATGGGCTGATGAAAAACTAAACGGATGCTTGAGTGAGGTGCGGGCTGCACGGCTGGAGCAGAACTGAGCTACTGATACCCCGGGAGTGTGCTCAACAAATTACTCTCTTCTTAGGTCACTTCCAGGCACAGTGCAAGTTACGGGGGTTTAACCTATGAAATCACTTCTGATGCGGTTTTGGGGAGATACCTGTGCTATGTAAGTGCTTACACAGGAAGCCTAAATTTAGACAGGGTGTTTCGACCCCACTCTGATACCTAGAGCATTTCTCACTTCCCACTGTGGAGCAAATGGCCTTGTCCCAACTCCATATCAGCGCGAGACCCAGGCCGGCATCACAGAGCCCCTGTGCTGCAGCTGCTGCGGGACATAAGCCAGGACCTGTGCCACAGAACTGAGCGAGGAATGGTGAGCAACCTGGAGAGCAGCCTGGTGGCTAATACACCCCAGTAGCTCACTGTAACCCAGCCAAAGTCAGGATTTGTGCATCTGAGAGGTCTCCGCAGGGGAGGGCCAGCCTGGAATGATGACCTTAGCAAACACTGTTGGGTTGTCTTGTTTGTCCTCCAGGAAATGTTTATTTACCCAGGCTTTTCCTGAAGAGATGTGTTGCGTAGGATGTCCTCAGCTGAAGGATGGGGCATTTCAGTTCAATGGGTATTTTGCAAAGTACATGTCTGTAATACTACATGTTCTTTAAAAGGAAGCAGACACCAAAATTGCACTTCTGCCTAATTAGTTTTACCACAGTTGTTGTATATATCATGCATGATTGCCACAATAGAAAGAGTTTAAAGTCGTGTCTGTTCACTTGGATCAAATTATTTAAGTGATACCTTTCCTGTACAGTCAGGGTCACTGCCTCCTGTTATAAATGACCAGTTTATTCCCCTTATTTTGTACCTGGAGGTCCCACAAGAAAGAAAAAATCACTCGTAAGTTGGGAAAAGTTGGGACAGTGGTACCCCCAGAGCTGTGTGAGTGCACCTTTCAGTGCAGGACCTGTCCCTTATAGGGGTCAGGCTCATCTGGAACTCTTGGCTCCTGCCTGTCGTGGAACTTTGACTGAACACTGGCTAGTTTAATGCAAGAGAGGATCTTAGCTATTGAACAAAGAGCAGAGATGGGCAGCATGGGAGGCAGTGGGCAGGAAAGACTATGCTCTTGCCTGCTGCATGCTCAGCGAGCCATTTTCACAAAGATCCACTTCTTCACATGTTAGGAGCCCTTCCTACCTTTAAAATACCCTTTAGAAAGCAATATATAAAGCAATAATGCTTGTTGTACTTGCTGAAGACACCTGCCTTACTGAACAGGATACATCTCCATGCGTAAAACTTAATGCACCCAGTATATATTGCTTGGTGGCAGATGATTGTATCCCCAGTGCAAATAAAAGGGCACTTTCCAGCTCCTCAGCAAGCTCCCCCGCCTAAGGGGGCTAGTGCTGTACAAGGGATGCTCTCTGCTGGCACAGGCACAGCCAGTGCAGTGCTGGCCGTGGTGCAGAGGCAGCAGGTTTGGGCAGCAGCTGCACCCAGTGGTGGGAGAGGGGCTGTGACAGCAGAGCTGCTGCAGCCAAATCTGTGGGATGCTTTTATTTACTGCAGTTTTCAGTAGTGACTCCTTTTCCACCCATTGCTCCCTATGCACCACTGACACAAGAGTGAATAATCCCAATGGCACGCTCTTTGAAGAAGGCTATGGCTTTCTTGTGTCTCTGCCCTCAGACAGAAATTCTTTCTGCTTTACAAAAACGTGTTGTGTTCACAGTGCAGGTGTGCAAGAGCATCAGCAGGCTGGGAGCAGCGTGCAATGGCAAATGGGGCATGAAAACCTCCTACCGTCGACCACGGGTTTGGGTTGCGAGCTCTTCAATCGTAATGAGGGCCTGAAGCGGGTTCGGTCGTTGAAGCTCCAGCTCTTCTGGACTTTGGTTGGGCTGCCCTCGGTGGCAATGTCGGCACTTGGTGACCTGCGATCTCCAACTGAAGACTGCCTGTTCTTAATACTCTGACCTCGTGGGCTGGCCATCCGGACCCGCTCCTTAAAACTTAGCTTTTGACTGTGAAGGAGAGAAATATATTTTATTTCCTGGTTCCTTCACTCCATTTCTTTTTTCTATCGCATGATAATTGAAAATAATTTCTAAAATTTCTCAATAGTACAAATCTGTTTCTTACACACTTTTATTTTCGTTGAATAAATTTCATTTGGAAACGAAACTGATTTGATGTAATTGTTTTTTGATAGAGGTATTTTCAATGGCAGTCTATCTTACAGTACAGAATAACCTTATAAATGAAATTAACGAATAGAAACAAATTTCATCCAATTTTTATAGATTAATCTCAAGATCTTTTATTTCTATTCCTTGAATTTTAAATAGGTTTATTTCCATCTTAGCCCAGCTCAGTGCATTTCTGGCCATGTCTTCAGATAAAAAAGAACAAATTCTATTACTGCATGCCATGTAGTATTGTTTAGGCGGTTTTTAAGCAGGCAAAAATGTTGCTAGTATGTTCATGCTTTTTCAAGATGTGGCACGTCCAACATTTCATATGCATCGTTAGTCATCTCCCATATCCAGAATTCCTTGTTGCAGCACTTGGACGAGACAAAACCACTATTAACAAAACAGCCATTTTTGTGATGACCGATTAATGGAAGTGTAACGATACAATGTGTGCTCACTAAAGTCATTGCAGGGAATTAAGGTGGGAGCTGACTGCCTGCAGGTGATATTGGACAGGCACTTTAGGACAGGTACAGGAGCCCAGACAAGCTCATGATTGTGACTGCTGGCTCAGTGGTGGCCCTGTGGTCTCACAGCTGGCCAATTCTAAGATGGGTTTTTTCCCCTCCTGTCGATATGTAGATTATCTACTTCCTAGTGCTTAGATTACCTTTGTTCATGTTCAAACATATCTAATGAACATCCTGTGATCACCATGACTATCTGTTTATGCTTTTTCATCATTTAACATTTTTGCCTTTGTTTGTCTCTTCCTGTAGCAGAAGGCTCAAAGGGGAAACAGAAAGGAAGTCTGATAGCAAGGTTTGGAAATACTGTTTTATCTATAACATTAAGTTCAATCACCTGTACAAGGGAATGGTTGTCTTGATTAGTGGTCCTGTTCTTGCAAGGGGAGAGATGATGGGAGCAATGCAGTAGCTGCTTATGGTATGGTGTTCATAGAATCACAGAATGGTTTGGGTTGGAAGAGACCTTAAATATCATCTAGTGCCAACGCCTCTTGCCATGCGGGGGGGCACACCTTCTGCTAGAGCACGTTGCTGGGTCTTGCAGTCCTATTGGTCTGTCACAGGCTTTGAGGGTGCTTTTAAAATACATATAGCAAAGACTGTCTACCTTCAAATTATAATTGTACTTGAAATTAAGACACTTTCTAGTACTCCCAAAGCCTTTGCATTTAACTTCAGCATGTTCATAAGATGTTTTCAACAGAAATGAATTCTGCAGCTAATTAACTAATGCTAACGTGGACTATGTGGTTCTTAGATATTTAGCCTACTATTAACACTCTGCAAATCCAGTGTTAATACATAATTATATGAAATGGAAAGTAGTTATAAACATCTGTGGCTGTGAAATGTTGAGATAATCAGGTATCTTTGTCCATGCACAGCACAGCATAGCATAGCATTTCGTTCTGAGTACAAACATCACTGAGAGCATAAAGGATGCAGTTTGTAGCAGGCAAAGCACATGCTGGGAAGCTTATAATGAGATAATTTTCAAGAATGCCAAAAAGTGAGCACATCAATAGAAAGATTATTAGATAAATGTATTTCTATATGGCATGTTGAATCGCTTGAAAGAATACCTTTACTATAGTTTCTGAATGTAATCCCCTTATTTCCTTGACCAAAGTAAGCAGTTGTTGAAATAAACACATGATGGTACTGGAAATGTTATCTATTTCCACTGCAAATTGTTACCCGGACCTGCAGCACTGTGTGCTGTTGCATATGCAATATGAAAGACCCACAGAACCTACTATTTGAAAGAAAAGTGACTTCTAAAATTTAATTTTCGATACAAACTACAATTCAAGACTGAATTACATTTCAGCTCAGCAATCTTTTGCATTGTACAACTTAATGAAAATATAGCTGTAAAATATTTATTAACCACATTATTGCATTGTCATACCATACAGCATGAGCAACAGAATCAAAATGGACTTTTTTTATTATAGATATTATTCCTAGGCATGTGTCCCTTGTGCTTTTTATTTTTTTTTAACTCCTCTTATGGCTCAAAATGTATTTAATATTGAAGCATGAAATCAGATTTTTTTTTTTTCTTTCACATATCTTAGAGTAAAAAAGTTTCTGGACAGCTCTCTTCCTGATGCACTAATTAAAATGAAAGGAAAATCGGTAAAAGAGTCATAAAACCGATCAGCATAGACTGTATTTTTTATAATCCCATTAACTGCAAAATAAAAATGAAAATAAAAAAAATGAAAAAAAGCACACGTGTTGTTTAATTTGTACAAATGAAAGCAATGGCTGCTTTTAAATGATTTGTACACATGGTTATTTCACTTATAAAAGCTGAATGGTACACAATGGCTACTTAACCTGAATATCTTTAGTTCTCCCAATCAAAGCAATGAGGCAATGGTGAAAGGAAGAGTAGACACTTCATCTGTACTAGAGATATTTTTCAAAAGTGCGACACTGAGAATGAAAATATTAATTTAAAATGCAGACCTCATACTCGAAAATAAAAACAATCTGCTTTGTAGCAATGGCAATATAATGGCATGCCAAGGGTCCATGCGGAGGATGCTGCACCGTGAAGAGAAACACAGCCCCTGAGGGAAGTGTGGTTTGGAAACTCTATTTTGCATCTTGAGAGTTTCTCCAGACACTAGTCATAGCAGTTCTTCGCTTCTTGGATCCCTGTTCCTATTTTGAGACTGGTGGGAAATGTTCCTGAAGTCACTGGGTCCTGCTCAGTGCAGGCACGAATTGTGTAACTTGCAGCAGTGGAGAATTCATGCCTGGGAGAAGAAAGATGCTGACCAACGCTTTCATGGGGCTCTTCTATATGTGATAAATAACAGATCATGAAGGAATAACTGGTGTTAGAGATACACCAGAATGGAGATAATCTTGTGCCCTTTCAAGCATCTCTGGGTATTCTGCACTCGAATCAGTAGCCACTGAAGACTTTAGGACCTCTTACACTGATTTAATACTGGTTGGATTAGCACTCTCCAGTGCTGTGCTAAAAATCCTTCACCTCTTGCAGGATGTAGCCCATTATATTTTCCTCTCTCCCTTTTTCTCCTCTCTTTTTATATAATATCCAAGGGAAATCCCTTGAATTAATGTAACCTGACAATGGCCATTGGAAATGTAAGTACTGCCAAGCTTTAAGTTGAATGTTGGTCCAAAAGGCAAAAAAACTGTGAGAGAGAATCAGGAAAATGAAATTACAGAAGTTCCTGAATCAATCCTAAATGACAAGGACCTGAGAGAACCACAGCTGCCTCCAGTCATCTCCACATTTCTTTAGACGTGTCTGTCCATCATTTCTTGTACTAAGGTTTGATGTGAAAAAAGCGAGTGACTTTTCTCTATTTGTTTGCCTTCTGGAAGGTCGGATCTTACCACTCATTCCTCCTGTCAGTACATGCATGAACCGTTCACTTCGCTGGGACAGCAAAGGGCTTTCTAGTTCTTATTCCTTCTTTTAAAAAATTTTGTCTTGTCCATCAGTGATTTATGAAGAGGTGTTTATGGACACTAGAGGTCACTGTAGCTTCACTGCAGAGGCAACGAACCCTTCTCCGCTGGACCAAATAACAAGAATTGCTAAGATTTTGTTGTAATTGGTAAATGCCTACAAACCTTTGCTTTTCTCTCCTGTACTCACAGCTCTGTCTGTCTTCCATGGACCATCTTGCTACAATTTTCGGTTATCTGAGCATCTCTTTTCCTCCCCTCTCCTATTTCCCTTCCTACCTTCCTGCATTTCTGGTCAAATTCATCTTCTGCTCTGCTTCAGCCTCAGACCTGCAGTGCTACTGCTTGCTGCTAGCCACAATTTGCAATTTGTTCTTCAGCTTTTTGTAGTGAGCCGGTTGGTGGAAATGGGAGGAGGAAGAAATCGGAATGAATCAAAAGTAACTGGAGGGTCTGAGGGTAAGGGAGAATGCTCCAAATTTCGAGTTGAGACAGAAGCTAAAACCTTCACAAAATATCACCCACAGCAAGCAGCAAGCAAACGTACATGCCCATTTTTGGCAGTTAATTTCCAATAAATACAGATGTTGATTCTTACCAAGCCTACAGATGCCTTTACTGAAATTAAGATAATTTGAACAAATGCAAATGAAAAGGATAGTACAGTGAGACCTGAAGTTTAAACGTTCAAGACTTCTCCACCAGGCTCATGATAAGACCATGAACCCAAGAAATGTAGTGTTATATCTCATACCTTCAATGAGTAATAAGAATTTCAAGGCCATAATGTCAATTTCAAGGCCATAAAGTTCAAATGTAAAAAAAATAAATAATAAAATTTCAGGGGGTTTGTTTACTTTTTCGTTTTTCAAAACAGTTTCCAGATGAAGAGAAACTGTTTTTTTAATCTCCATTTTCTATCACCAGAATGTACTTCTATTATCTTTTAAATTATTTTTAAAAAGTAAGAAAGTGTAATAAGCATGAGTTACAAACCAGTGGTTTCTTCTCATAAGATCCATCCATCTAAAAATTACCAGTTTTGGTAAGAGACACAATTTCCACAGAATTCAGCTGAAGCAGATGGTTGATTTCACATGCATTCCTCTACCTTCCAGCACAGGATGCAGGCACAGCTTCCACAGGCTGCGTCCAAGGGGATTCTTCTCAACAACAGTTGCACATTTTGACTTGGTATTGCCTAGCTTGTTACAGTTTTAAATTCCCCACTAATTATTAGATGGAGAACTCAACTGCCACAGTTATAAAAATCCTCTTGGACTTGGGGAAATGTCTTTACCCAAATGTTCAACCTCAGTTTTAGATCTCTGCGGGGTAATGCATTCCAAAAGTTCAAGTCTCAGGCAGAGAAAGGGAACTGGGCTTCAGCAAATGGCAGCGTGCTGTGCACTGCAATTGTCCAACCGGATGAGTTTTAAAGAGCTGGTATTATTGCCATTGTATTAATGTCATTGCAGGCAACAAGCAACAAGGGAATTACAAGCACTTAAAAATAAATAAATTAAGACACCTCCTTTGGAGAAGTAAGGAACTTGAAAGCACTAAGGAGGGAAAGTAAATGAATCATGCACCTGATATTAGTTTGCATTCTCAAACATCATGTGAATAGGCAGGATGCTGAATACCTATGTTTCCGAGGGGTGTACATCCTGAAGAACTTCTCTTTATTACTACAAAGCTTACTAGGAGCGAGGGGAGATAGAGGACCATGTTACTAAGCATTCCACTGCCAGGTAAGGGGTTAGGCTTTCCACCTCAAGTTAGATTCTGCATCACTGGCATTTTCTTTTTTGTATGGTGCATGCAGAGTGTTTACATTAAATCTACTTTCAGAAACAGATATAGTATAGGAAGGAGGTGGAGAGAATTACGGAGTACAATTTACTTCTTTTCCTCAGAGCAGGGATGAGTTTTTCCCTGAAGCTCCTACACTGGTGAAACTCCTTATTGAACCAGAGAGCTGTCTTAATAGGGAATTCATATTCAGGCTTGCTAGTTACATTAGACGGGTGATGTTCACCCTTTGCAGACACCCAATGCATGTCCTACACACAGCTTAACACTGCTCATGCTCTCAGGATGTTGTAAGATTCATCAGTCTTGATCAAGTTTCCTGCACAGGAAGAATTTCAGCCACATTGTATAGTTAAACAGAAATAACATTATTAGCATTCAGTGTGTGCATTTGTAGATACCAAGAATTTAACATACAGGCTTTTTAAAATAACTCAGAGATCTCTAGAACTGATTTATAGAAATATCTTATTTACAGTGTGGATACACCAGAGAGGTTATCTACCATTACTTTTGATAAATGATTAATTAGAATACTCGTTCTGAGTAACACAACATACATATTTTTCTTAAAATCAATATGAAGCTACAGCCTCCTAAGCACAGCTCTCTCAACTCAAACGCACAGCAACATTTAGTTACCTAATGAAAGACTGTAGCAAAATGTATACGTGGCAAAATGTAAAAATCCATTTCTGTAAGTGTAAAAGTCATTTTGGTAGAAAAGAAAATAAGTAATTTTCACCTAAAGTAAATAAAAGTTTTTCTCTACTGTTGTTAGAATAGAGTACAGATCAAAGAACATATTCAGAAAGCAAATCAATGCACTACTTGTGCAAACACATCTTCATTTAAAGAGTGAAACAAGAAGCAGCTTAGTTCACATAGCATCCCATGCAAGTCAATCAGCATTGAGGTAAGAAAGAAGTTAAAATACTCGAGAACAGTCTTCTCAAAGTACATTGCAGCAGTTCACATTTACATTTTTACTGCAAAAGACCACATACACCACATGTATATTCAGTGATACAAACATATAGCAATATATCAGACAATAAATAGCCACTGATTTAAAAGGCACTGGGTGGTCCATGCGATTTTTATTGTAGACCAGGATCTCAGGATTTAACTAGTTCAATTTTATACCTACACTAATTTGCAACAGTGCACAGCTTAGTTGAGAGTTTCTGAAAGACACATATCTTCCATTCAGTGAAAATACAGTGAAAAAAATCTGGCTAAATCATTGACTACTTTCAAAGCCACAACAGTTATCACTAATATGGAGCACGTAATATAGTTCTGACAGCTGTTTTGGTTTTTTGTTCTTTTGTTTGCGTATAGTATCTACTTATAGTGAACAAATTTGTCTCTTTAAGTGCTTGCAGGTATGACTGGGAATAACCTCTCCCTTCTGCACAAATCACTGTTTTGGAGGTGTTCTCATTTACTGCCAACTTTAGTCTCACCTTTAAAAAAGCTGAAGTCAATTTTAAATGTTGCTGTTGAAAGAGTAGGAAATACTTTTGGTGAGTGCAAAAAGTTTGGATCAGGCTGTAATAATTTAAGATCAATACGTTGCTAGCAAGCCTATGGAGATAATGTATATGAAAAGTCACAGAACTGACAGAGCAGGCGAAGTGCTCATGAGGGACATCTCAGAGCAGCTCCAGTCCCCTTGAGTTACAGTGACATTAACAACAGTTATGTGCACATCAGGGAAAAGGATGGAGTCAGGCGCCAGAGGAGCAATCTGGAAAGTGGAACAGAACACGGGTAACTGATGTGAAGACTTTCCACCCTTGAGTGAATAACCCAGAAGAGTTTGTGAACTACAGTACAACTCAGGGGCAGATGTATTTTGGGGGCTGATGTGTCACTGCCAGGTTTTTTTTTGGCTTTTCATTGTTTTCTACTTAGAGGTAAACTCCACTGTTCTCTGATTTGCTGATACTGCAGTGCTGGCTGTCAAACGCCTGCTGACTCCCATTGCTAATGAGTTTCACACGTAGCGTAATTTCTCTTGTAGCCACTGAGTCCTTTCCTGTCCCTAAGGATTCAGGCTACAAGTACAGCAAAAAGCAGCATTTCCTTTTACTGCCTTAGGACATGCATTTCCAGGGCTTACCAGTAAGGATAGCCCTGCTGAGGCTTTTCTCTGTGTGCTATAGGCAGCTGGTCCTCAGCTAGCATCCAGGCTGGTGGAAACCCCACCTACCCTCCTGGCCCAGGGTGCTATGCCAGACTGTCTCCTCCATGTGAGAGTGCGAACCCTGCAGCTGGGAGGACATGAGCCCCTGCAGTGGTGCTTTTCCCCTACCCACCGTGCCCCAAAACACTCTTTAGGAGCGAATGGCAGGATGCTCCTGCAGGGCAGCACAGACCCTTGCTGAGGAGATACCCAACCGGCTCCACTGGGGGATCCTGCCCCTGCGATAAAGGGCTGGTGGGCTTGTTCACAAAGCCAAATTCAGCTATATACCTCTAACTTCCAGTGGAAGTTACAGGTTCCTGGAAACCACAACCATTGATTTTATGGCATAAGCCGGGCTCATGTCCTTGTCCAGGAGCTGGGTCTAAGGAGGCTGCTCCACTCACTACGCTGCCACTGTTTGAACTGAGCTCCCCCTTAAAGTTAAAACGTGTCTAGAAACACAAAAATTTGCCTAATTTTTCTATACAAAAGCTGTGAGAAAGCAGCAAATTTCAGTAGCATTAGTCTATTGGTATGAGTTTAAAAAAACAGTTTTGTGATTAAAATCGGTTAACAGTTACAGTTCATTGAACCTACTGTACAGAACCTGAGTCATCTAAAAGCCATTAAGAAGCAGCGATTTCACAGGTGAAAGAAATAAAAGAAACTACAAACCTGCTAGAAGCTTCCCCTTGTTCTTTTCTTCAGGTCAGGGTGTGGGAGGGAAAAACATACTTGTTATGCAGATAGTAATCACATTACTTACTTAAAGATGATGTTAGATATATGGTAAACATAAATGGATATGTTAGTGTACAACACACACATTACATTGCAACCACAAAAACATTCAGGCAAGACTCGTAACTACAATGCTTCTGAAAAAGAAACTTTTCAGTTGTTTTAACACATGCATGTAACATGCTTAGTACATACCACTGCAGACTGAGTTGGCAAAGCACTTAGGCAAAATGCATTGCTGACACATATTTAACAGAAAGCTGTAGGCTCTTATTAGAGAAAGCTATCTCTGGTAAATAAAAAGGTTTAATTTTAGGATAGCACAGCAATACGCTTATTTAAAATAACAAGTGGATGCACTTTTGAGGGACAGTCATATTTTAGAGTATTTTAGGAGGGACACAGGTTCGTTATTTATGTGATTTTATATCCATCAATTTATACCAATGTTGCCTTCAACCTGTTTGTATATTTGTCAAAAATCAATATTCCATTTTTAATCTAAAAGCTCCTTTTAGTTTGGAGCATTTTAGGATTACAGTTATGGTAATGGATTACTTACGGCTCTGTTCTTGTCAACTCTTTGAAATTCAAAGATCAGCTTTGGGTACCCAGCCAAACCTCTTTTTGGCTGAGCTTTTTGGCACACGATTACCTTTTTACTGTCATGTGGATGTTCATCACCCAGCTTTGAGAGAAACCACTAATTCTCTTGCACTGTCTGCAATAACAACAGTTAGGATGCTTATCAGAGCTTTCCCATAAGACTCTTAGCGCTCTCCTTTTTGATCTTTATCAAGTGTCTTTTACTTCCTGATTTGTGCCCCCTATTGAATCAGCCAACTTACAATCTTCTGGTAAATCTTTTACTGAATTATTGAAGAGTCTTGGGCTGCCAGTGCTCTGTGAATTCTCACCCAAACTAGGACATCAAATATTTCCTGTCTGCCAAACTGCGACATCAGGTCTTTTTAGTCATCTTCCACTGCCTGTGTGGGTAACTGAGAATATAATTCACCCTAAGGAAATACTGAATATATCAGAAGTTATGATGAAGAGGATCAAATTCCCCAGTGCATTCACCTGCAGAATAGCACAAAGCTCTCTGCCCTTGGCAAGGCAGATCTGTAACTATCATCGCCTTTATACGGAGGCACAGACAGAAAAATAGCATTAAATCAAGGAACAAGCTCTGTGTTAAACTTAATATTTTCCTCCTTAGAGAGAATCTGGAACTAGGTGAAACCTTAACCTTGATATATGAATGGGTTGGGGGGAAAATGTTTATAATGCCTGTGCTCAGGAATATTTCTTCAATAAATGGCAATGATTTGTATTTGTCCCACTGTGCTAGGCTCCTAGACAATATTGACCTGATTTGTTAGTTGAGATTTCTAATAAGAAGGCTTAAGAAGACAAAACAAGATGAAACAGACAAATAGTAATTATCTATAAGCTCGAACAGACATTGAGAACAGCACCAGCTGCCATATTTGTACCTACTTTGTAGGGCTGCAGGTATGCAAGGCCTTCAAATGAGGCTTCCAGGTAGCAATGGAAACCGATTTCTCATCAGCCGCATAACTACGCCATACACACTACGTGCAGGATATACGGTAAAAAAGAAAAAAACAAGGCAAGAGGGAGCAGGGAATGAAACAAAAAATTGAAAAGCAGATTAGTAACCAATACAAGTCATGGCTTTCTTTTGTCATTCATAGCACTGATACATGCCTGAGGGGAGGAAGAATACTTTCATAATATCGCCAGGTGGCTGTCAGGTTTGTTCGGCTGGTGTCGGTAGAATAAAACCGCCAAGAAGCCTGGTGTGGGGAAACAATAGAAAAGCACAAAGGAACCAAGAACATGAAGTGACAATGCCACCGCACTGGTTATGGAGAGAGGGCATTTTTCTCAGACTGGGATGTGCTCTATTAGGTGGATTAAGGAAATACCATTAAAAACCTACCAAAACTTCTGTGAATAACAGTACATGTTACATGGTGAAAGAAAGAAGAGTTACTGGCTTCGTGGAAGCACCAGGAGATATTCAGCACATAGATGTGCTTGAAAAAGCATTGCAGTGATTTATTTGTGACAAGTCCACAGGGGACACCCACACAAACTTGCAGTCTGAGGTAAAGAAAGTGCCATAAAACATTTTGTAAATTACAATTAAAACCAGACAAAAAGCATTTAGAAGAAAAGAGAAGTGTTCTCTGTGGTTTGAAACACTGCTAAATGTTTAAGAACACAAAATAAATCATTTCGAAGGAGAGTGATCAAAGTATAGAATTGAAAATGCATTCACTGTTCAGATTTGTAACTGCATGTAGATGGTAAGACAGATTCTTGGTTCTGGAAACTGGAACAAGTTCCTTGATGTTAGCATAACTATATTAATTTGTACTAACTGAGTATCTGCGCTTCCTGTATATTGTCATCTATTAAATGTCATCCCTGTGTTTTTCTACTGCACGTCTCCCAGAAACACATCTAGTCTTCATCTACAGGTGGAGAACCTGTCACTTTGTAAATTGATCCACATTCTCATTGTCAAAGACCTCTGCATTATTTTAAATCCAAAATTCTTTGGTTTGGCTTACAGCCAGAGATAGTTCTTGTGTTTCTGTCCTGTAGGTTCCAGTACTTCCTCTCTGGACTTTTATGTTCAAATAATATTCACACTGAATATTTCTTACAAGCTAAAGAAATTGAGAAAAGTATGTCCATATGAAACATTTTTGTTTTCTATAGTAATACCTTAGCTATTTTAAAGTCAGGTAAAGACTCTGGCAGACTGTATCTATGGCAACAGAGGAGTTAGCACAGACTAATTCTACAGAGTTAACTGATTAGAAAATAGATGTTATCCTGATAAGCTATAGCACACTGATTTCCATGGCAGTTCACTACCAATATCCACAACAGACAATTGAAAAAAGTCTGGACACAGTTACAGTACACAATGATATGTAGTTCACACACATTCTGCATTTATGAACATGAAATTTTCCCCCCCCCCCCCCCCCCCCCCAAGTGTTTTCTTTACTTTGTTCAATTTTCCAGTCTCATTTACAAACTTTAGATGCTGAGCTGATACGTAGCATGTTAGTACAAGCATCACCATACACAGTGGTAATATCAGCTGCCTTCTCCTTGTTACCTTTCTGGTTTTGTGTCTAAGGACTGTAATAAACCAGCTGGAGCAACATACTGGTAACTTGTATGAAGCTCTTGACCCTTCTTTCCTACTCTTCCTTCTCTGTGTTTCTCATCCTTCATCAAATCCTTCTCAGAGACACTAATACTGGGATAGACATCTCTTGTAATACACTGATTTCATTGTTTCTAGATCAAGGTTTGTATTTTGGTGTATTAAGACTTTTGGTAAGAATCATTCCACCCTGTACAGTCACTCAGATCATCCTTGGGTTCATTCGTGTGTGCCTGCCCTCACCTCTCCTGTTCTGACAGGTCTTGTGCCATTGTCAAATATCTCCATCAGCAATTTTATATTATTTTCCAGGTTACTGAAAATGCTGAACATGAAAATGAACATGTAAATGCTGAAGAGCCTTCATCATGTGATCCCACCACAAATGTCTTCTCCTTGCAATGATTTTGCCCATTGAGAGTCACTTTCTGAAATCAGTCAGCTAGCTGCTCTTAATCTATTTAGCATGCTGTCTAACTAGTATTTTGGTTGAACTGTCATACAATAATAAGAAGAGCTACATCAAAAACCTAAATCTATTCTGTTTCCTCTGGCAACCAAACTTGGAAGAAGTAGATTAGAATATATGTTAGAAAATATCGCAGATCTTCATTCTACAGTACAATAGATACAAAAGAAGTGGCTTTATATTTATTATTCTAATAAAAATTTGATCTCAAATATTTAGTATTTAATAATAGTTGTACAGTAATAATGGAAAACATTTATTAACTTAAAGAATGTGCTTCAAAGATGGCCTGGCATCTACCCTGAACTTATCATGGAATTCTAGCATATTCATAGAATCATGCTCAGCTTCTTTATTTGGATTTATTATTTCAGATTTAAAACAAAAACAGAACAGCATAAATGGCACACAGAAACCACTTGGGATCCCAAGAAAATAAACGAGGCCACTGTAAGATTATTTCCCTCCTTTTTTTCTCAGTGCACCAAGTAGAGTGAAGGTTGGTGCAAAATCATTCTTTAAAGGATGTTCTCAATTTTAACTAGGACTGTAAGTTATGGAAACCCCAATCAAAGCAGCTGTTCAACATATATGTCACTTTTGCTTAAAAAAAAAGTAATCTTTCTCAGTTTTTGATCTGTCAGTATTGGAGCCGAAACCACCTCATACAATTTCAGACAATTTGGAATTGCTAGCACCTACATTTCCGGCTTTAGAATTGATTAATAGTGAAAGCAATTCTCTGGGCAGGATGCTTTTTATTTTCACCAAGTATATAACTCATTGGAGCACTCTAAACCCTGCAGTAGATGAAAAGTAGCTTAATACAGGCAAGAGTGTTGTGTTGTCAGTTGGGTTATTTAGGGATCAATTCTATTTTTCCAAGGAATTCACTAACTGCAGGCATGCAGTTGACATGCTTGACTTTGCTTCTTCAGCGTGGATAGAAGAACTCAAAAACCATTCATATAAATGCTATATAAGTAATTATGACAACACACTGCAATCACTGAAAGAACTTATTTCATGAAACAAACCAATCTGTTAAACATTATTTCCACAAAACTTTCAAAATTAAAATAATAAAATTTGCTCCAATATGTACTTTAAATCACTTACTATTATATTTTCACTAATTTCTTATTTACCTGAATTAGACTGGCAGCTGGATTCCTTCTTTTCTCAAAGTGTTTCTGACGATGCTGTTCCTGCACTTTTAAAGCAAATCCTGAGCCAAGGATACCCTGCAATACAATATGCCATTTATCATTATCTAGGTAGTTTTTCAAATAAATATACATAATCAACTATAAAGATTTAGTGAAGATTTTATGCCATGTAATTGCTTCAGATAACATGTTTATGACAGTATATGACAGTATAAGGTTTATATACATACATATATAAAATCTAGCAGGAACATTCAGAGGAACTTAAGTCAGGAAGAAGAAATGTCCAGCTGCCAGATATGCCAGATATACATGGACCTCAAAGTCCATATCTGCAGTACTTAATAACTTTTGATTATATCAAAGTTAGAAAAGGCCTTGCTTAACAGATTAAGACCATTTCTTCCCACTTTCTCATCCAGATAATCCCATTGCTTATTCTATAAACTATTAAAAAAAGATGATGATGAAACCTCTCCCCTTTTACCTTTGAATAAGTAAGATAAATTTGACTCCTACTGAACAGACCCAAATACTGAGAATGTTTCTCTCCTTGGCTTGCAAGTAGTATACTATTTCTGCTGGACATGTCTGCATTTAAGGAAGAATATTTGCATTTGATTCTTAGTCAGGGTAAAATAATATTAGAGATGCACAAGATTCACACATATCTCTTGTTTTACAGACAGATTCAACAAAAAAGTGTTTATGAGAAAAATGAGTATCTGTACATAGATATGACATGAGGATCAAAAGTTCTGGCATCTCTAATACGTAAGGTTATTAATATTTCACATGTTCATTGTATTTCTGCTAAGACTAACTTTCTTGGTGGTGGTAATTAAGTGACAAAAGGAATTAATTACAGTAGCTGCCATTAAATGTTAAAGATTCACAAACAGGTAATTTACTATAATTATTATGCATTATAATATGCCAAAGATACTGAAATATTCTTTGTACTTAGAGTAAGAAAAAAATGTAGTACCCTAGATGATTCAATGCTGTTGGCAAATGCAGACTCTTAATCTTAGTTTGTTTATATGGTTGAAAACAAACCTATTATTATAACATGCATGTTTTATAGTGATCTGTAGATAATGAATCTGAGTATTAAAATATTGACTGTCTGCATATGTTGCAATAGATGCAATACAACAAAATAAAATGTCACTTCTGATTTCATGCTTATTCAATAGTAATTTAAGAAAGGAAATTCTCCCACAAATATGAAAAGTTATATCTGAAGCTGCACTATATTTTATTCATTAGATGATTCCCATTTCCATTAAAGTCTCTTGAAAGTTGGTAAAAGCAATGTAAACATACTGTCATGTTTATTTACAATCATTCACAGAAAATTATAGCTGCATTTTTACATTCAATGACATAAACTTTGGTTGATCTAATGCCTTCTACTACTCTCTGTCGGTAGCCTGAACATGGTCCTACAAGAAAACCTATTATAAATATCTCACTTCTTTTTTTTTAAATAGAATCAAATTCAGAAGAACATATCAGCTGATTTTTTTTCAAGAATCTGAAAGAAAAACAGTAATATATAAGCCACAATTTGTAACAAAAGACAGGAATTTCAACCTTATGCAATAGTATGTGACCTAATTTAGTATTATTTTCCAGTTTTGTACATGTGAAAGAAAGTCCTCAAACCCCAAGTATGTTCTTCATACAGAGAGCTTCCTTCAGCCTTTTGTATCATAAATGACTCTATAAGTTCTATTACCTTTTTACAAATTTTACAGGCATACTCACAGCAGGTAGTGCAAAGAAAGAAATGCCAAGCAGAGCAAATCCTGCAGAAAGCAACCTTCCAAGCCAAGTAAGGGGAGTTTTGTCTCCGTAGCCAATGGTTGTCAATGTGATCTGAAATTAACGAACACTGTGGTTTACCAGAAGTCACTGAGAAATTAGTTGAAGATATTTACATTGCATGAAACAGCATTTCCACTAAATAATCCAGAACACATGAAATATACAGTTGTTTCTAAAAGAAAACCAAACATAAATAAATTAATACAATTTTCTAGAAAAAATACTGTTTATGACTGAATGAAATGGAGATAAATAATAAATGTGAGAAAAATACCTAAATAATCACAGAATCATAGAATGGTTTGGGTTAGAAGGCACCTTACAGATCATCTAGTTCCAACCCCCTGCTATGGGCAGGGACACCTTCCACTAGACCAGTTTGCTTAAAGCTCCATGCAACCTGGCCTTGAATGCTTGCAGGGATGGGGCAGCCACAGCTTCTCTGGGCAACCTGTGCCAGTGTCTCATGAATTTCTTCCAAATACCTCATCTAAATCTACCCTCTTTCAGTTTAAAGCTGTTCCCCCTTGTCCTCTCACTACATGCCCTTGTCAAAAGTGCCTCCCCAGATGTCTTGTAGGCCCCTTTAGGTACTGGAAGGCTGTTACAAGGTCTCCCTGGAGCCTTCTCCAGGCTGAACAACCCCAAACCTCTCAACCTGTCTCTGTAGCAGAGGTGCTCCAGCCCTCTGATCATCTTTGTGGCCTCCTCTGGACTTGCTCAAAGAGGTCCATATAATAAGCAATAAATAAGTTTAAGAAATAAAAACCCAGAAGGCCTAGGATCTCAAAAATTGAGGCAAATGCTGGGAAATTTGCCAAGTTGGGCAGAAAATAGGTGATATTTTCTATGGATGTAAAAGCGTTCCTCCTATTTTCTGTAG